CAGGTTCTTTTATGCAGAAATTTACAAGGCTGTTCTATAAATGCAAAGGACCCACACTAACCAAAACAACCCCGAAAATGCATGAAATCGGGCTAACATTCTGAGAATTAGGATCAGTCTAGAGTACCAAAACGGTACTATTGGTGTAAAGATCTTCAAATAGATTGAGAAAATAAAATAGACCCATACATATGCAGAAATAATAGCTCTCCCAATAAATCATGCTAAAATAGGTGGATATCCACCTACAAGAAGGAAGAAAGAGGAGGAAGAAGAGGGTTATTTGAATACAAAATTAACTCAAAATGGAGTGTAGACCTAAATAACTATAAAAACAAAGGGAAAATCTTAATGAATGTGGATCGGCAAAGATTTCCCAGACATAATACCAAACCCAATCCCCCGCCGCAACAAGACTGGCTGATTGAAATTCATCAAAAGTGTTTAAAACTTGCTCTTCAAATTTCATTATATTTCACTGTGAAGAGAAGGAAAACCTAAGACATCAGCTGGGAGAAAACCTTAGCAAAACACATATTTCATAAAGGGCTGATCCAGAAAACAGAAAGAACCCTCACAACTCAATAATAAGAAAGCAGATAACCCAGCTTTTAAAAATGGGCCAAAGATCAGAACGGGCAGCTCACGAAACAAGGCAGATGAATGGCGCTGAGGCCCGTGACTAGAGGCACAGCTCTGTCACTGTGGGAATGCAAGATAACATCACAGGATACCACTCCATGAGAATGGCTAAAACTGTAAAGCCCTTTAAACATAACAAACGCCGGGCAGAATGGAGAGGGGCCTCACATCACCCGTGGAAACGTTGACCCATACACTCGGCGGTATCTGTTTTCTCACAAAGTGAAACATACACCTGCCATGTGACGTGGGCGTTACGTCCAGGCATTTCCCCACGAGAAAAGGAAATGTTTGTCCTCACAAAGACTTTCACATGAATGTAAATGGCAGCTTTTTTTTTAATCGTCAAAAACTGGAAACAGCCCAAATGCCCATCAGCAGATGAACGCGTAAACGAATTGCGGCCCGTCCATACCATGGAGGTCAGAAGGAATGCAGGGTTGAGGCATGCAAAGGCACAGATGAGTCCCAAAATAGTTACGCTGGGAGAAAGAAACCAGACAGAGAAGAGGACAAGCTACATGCTTCCATTTATAGAAAACTCCAGAAAATGCAAGCTAACCAGGTCATTGGTTGCTTGATTGGGCATGGGGAGAGGCGGAGGGAGAGATGAGAGAAGGGGTTACAAGGATCCAACGATGCTTTTGGGGGTGATGGTCTCCCTGACACAGGCACGGAGCAGGTGTGGGGACTCCTGGGGAGGGAACCGCACCCTCCCTCCAGAAACTTTCTCAACCCCATTCCCACCCACAGTTCCTATCCTCAGGGGAGCCCTTCCGTGAAAACGGGGTGGCAAGGAATGAGGTGGCCTTCACTCAGGTGATGAGGGGGCTCTGAGGGCCAAAGGCTTACGTGTGCCACCACCAGGCCTTTGCACATGCTGGCCCCTCCCACCTCCTGCAACTCTTCCCCGCACACATCTCCCAAGAGCATCTGATGTATCTCGCTCGTTTACTTGAGTGCCTTTGTCTCACTTGGGGGACATGACCACGAAGGCAACGACTTTATTGATGTAGAGTTTCGTGCAGTGCTGTGTCACCAACTCCTGGAAGGACACTTAGTAGGTTCCCAGACAATAGAGGTACAATAAATAAATGAGTGTGTGAATGAGTGAGTGCACACGCGGCCTCTCTTCGACCTCCTCCCCTTTTGGTCTGCAGTCTGAAGTCACCTCCAAGCTCACCTCGTCCTTTCCCTCCAGCCCAGGGTCTCCCACTGCTGTCTGAAAGGACCCCCAGCTCCCCAGCCTGGCATGGGAGGCTCAGCATATAAGCCGGCCTCACAGGGTGGCTCCTGCCTGGCCGCACTCCTTATCTGCCCACGGGGGGCTCCGCCTCCTCTGGGCGAGCTCCCATCACTTCTGAGGCTTCCCTGGCACCAGCACATGGCGGGGGGCAGGTGGGGGTGTCAGATGTTGGCCAATGAAAACGCATGCGAAGATAAAAGAAGTACATTCCTGCACGCCTGTCACTACAGCCAACATCCAAAACGCTGACACCATGAAATGCTGGTATGAATAAAGAGCAGCAGGAACGCTCTCTCAGCACCGGTGGGAATGCAGGACAGGGCAGCACCTCTGGAAGCCAGCTGGGCGTTTCCTTGCAAAACTAAACGCACTCTTCCATACGATCTAGCAGGGGTGCTCCTTAGTGTGTCTCCAAAGGAGTCGAAAATTCATGTCCACCCAAATGCCTGCACACAGCTGTCTGTAGCAGCTTTACTCGGAATTGGCAGAACCTGGAAGGAGCAAAGTGGGCCTTCGGCAGGTGGACGGATGAATGGTGACCCACCCACACAAGGAAGTATTATCAATACTAAAAAGAAATGTGCTATCGAGCCATGGAAAGACATGGAGGAGCCTTAATTGGATCTTACTAAGCGAAAGAAACCCATGAGAAAAGGCAAGACCCTATGGGATTCCAACAATGCGACCTTCTGGAAAAGGCTAGACGATGGCAAAAGCAGAGAGATCAGTGGTTGCTGGGGCCTGAGTGGGGTGAGCAAGAGGAACACAGGGGATTAGGGCCATGAAACTACTCCGCATGAGCCCCCGCATGAGCCCCCGCATGAGCCCCCGCATGAGCCCATGATAGTGGATACATGTTCTTATACTTTCCTCTAAACTCACAGAACATCCAACATCAAGAGTGAATCCTAAGGTCAACGGTAGACTTCAGTCAGTAACAATGTCTCAGTTTCGGCCCATCAATTGTAACAAAGAGACCAGCTAGTGAAGGCTGTTAACAGTAGGGAAGCGGGTGGGGAGAGGAAGGTAGACACTAGAATTTCCGGGTACTTTGTGTGCAATTTTTCTGTAAACCTGAAAATGCTCTAAAAACAATGTCTACTAAAAACAATTGAAAACAAACACATAAAAAGTTATCGGAGCATGGATCTGATCAGACCGGAGAAGGAGGAAGAGAGAAGGGCTCTCGGGTGCCCTAGGCTCGGACAGCAGCCTCCGCTTAGAAACCCCAGGCCTGCTGGGGAGGAGCCCTGTGCGCAGAGAATCAGAGAGGTGGGGGCTGAGTGTCGAGGGCACAGTGGAGACCCCATCCCTGCCCTCACCCTCCATGAGGACCTCAGCTCCCTATTCAGACATGACCCCTCTCCTAGGGGCAGCAGCCCCCCTCAACCCACACCGAGTCCACTGACAGCTGTCCCCCACTGAGCCACACGCAAATCTGAGTCCAGCATCCAGCCACACCTCCAAAGGCCCTTCCCAAACAATGACATGCCTGGGAGGTGAAACAGCGCTTCCTAAAAAAAAGCCTCCTGGCCCCCGGGGACCCCCATAATCCAGCTCCCTCACTCTCCCTGCCACTCAGCATGCTTCCTCTCCACTGACTTCTTCCTGCACAGGGCCTGGGGGCCTGCCCTTCTGCCTTCTCCCGGCCTCCCCCAGCAGGCAGGCCACACCCGCTGTCGCAGCTAACCCATCCCCAGTGCCTGCCCCTCATCTTTAGTATCTTCATTCCAGGGGAACCCACTTACGCCAAACACAGGGAGAAGGAGGGCACTCCAGCCCCTCTCCACAACCCAGTCTCTCCTTTTCTCAGCCTGGGGCAGCCATCAGCTTCAGCCTCCCTGCTGCCTTCCCCACCATCCACCCCGACCCTAGAGGTGAGACCCTTTCCCTAATTCCTAGGGGTCCATTCTCTCCCTGAAGATTGCCTGACACCCCCCTCATGTCCTCCTGGCTCTGAAGAGCATTGAAGTTGCTGTTGGTGCAGAGTCAACGGGCCACTGTGGTGGGGGAGAGGCAGCTAAGGGGATCGAGGAACGGCCAGAAGCCACGATGCACAGGAAACGGGTCAAGCGTGGGGCCTCGGGCTGGAGGAGGAGGCCGCAACCTGGGCCTCCCCAAAAGTCTTCATGCAGGTTGGGAGGAGGGGGCATTGGGTCCCAGATGTGCCCTACAGAGCGGGCGTCCCCTGAGTAAGGACTGTATGGGAGGCTGTAGGGCAAAGGGTGCCCAGGGGATGGGAAGAGGGGCCCAGGGCTGCCCAGAAGCGCTGTGAGGGGCCTTGGAGCCCCAGATCAGGGAAGGGATGAAAGCACCCTGGCCAGGTGGAGAGACCGGCCTCAGATGAGGGCCACGCACCCACCCCTTTCCCACTTCCCCACCTCCCACCTCTGCCAGCAGCTGGAAGACTGGTTAGCCATGGTCTACAGTTCCTGCGGGCACCAGGGCATGGCCTATGGGGTAGTGTGGGGTGCAGAAGGGTGTGGGGGGGGACATGCGGGACTAAGGGGATGCCGCAGGGCATGGGTGGGGTGTGAGGGGCAGGGAACGGGCAAGGCGAGGTACCTGGGCAGAGTGAGGGGACTGGGCAAAATGGGTTCTGGACGCTGGAAGGGTGTGCGGGACTTGGGAGAGACCCAGAGGCATGAGAGATTCTGGGCTCTTACAGGGCATGCAGGTCAGCGGTGCTGCTCAGATGGGCAGGCCAGGTAGGGGCCAGGTGCGTGGGGGCAGGGACAGTGGGTGGGGCAAGAGCAGGGGGGTAGGGACGTGGGTCGGGGGCGATGAGACAGGAAGGTGGGGCAGAATGAGACAGGTGTAGTGAGTGCGGCAGGTGCGGTGGGCGGGGCGGTGAGGTAGGTGTGCAGTGAGGGGCGGTGGGCGAGGCAGTGGGCGGGGCGGTGGGTCAGGTGCGCGGGGCGGGGCCGAGGCAATAGGCGGGGGGATGGGAGGATCGTGGGCGGAGCGACCCAGTGGGCGGGGCCGGCTTAACGGGGCGGGGCTGTGGGGCAGGTGCTCGGGGCGGGGCCGGGGCGGGGCAGTGGGCGGGGCGCCGCGGGCCCTCCCGGAAGCCAGGGGGCGCTGTGATGGGTCCACGCAGGCCATGCGCGCCCCTCCTTCCGTCCGCGGCCCGGAAACCGGCGATGGCGCGGAATGTGCTGTGAGTGGCCGGGGGCGCGGGCCTGGGGGGGGGGGGAGGGCGCGGTGGCTGGGGGGGCGGGGGGGGGGGGGGGGCGGGGGGGGGGCGCCGGCAGGTGCCGAGGGCGGGCGCGGGCCGGAGGAGCAGGCAGGGCAGCGGGCTTGGCCGCGGGTCGGCGTGTCCACGCGGCGGCCGGGGCGGCTCGGGAGGGGCGCGGGGGAGGGCGCGGGGGAGGGCGGGGGCGCGGGTGAGTCACCCTCGGGGCCCCGGGGAGGTAGGGCCGGCGGCAGCCCGCCAGAGCGCTGTGCTGGGAGCAGGCCGGGGCAGTCGGGAGCTGCCCTTGAGCAGGGTCGGGCTTGGGGAATCCGCGGGAGGGTCCAGCGGGCCGAGGGGCAGGGGGCCCCCGGCGGTACGGGCCGGGCGTGGGGGGCCCGGAGGAGGAGGCCTTGGACGCCAGGGGAGAGTCCTGCCCTGCCCGCCTTAGGCCTCTGACCCTCACCTGGGCGTCCCTCCAGCCCCAGGCGGGGTCTGAGACCCCGCGTCCTTACCCGCACAGCTGCCCCAGGGCTGCCCCTGCCCCCCTGCATTGCCACAGCTGGTCAGCAGGGGGAATAAGTGAGCCCTTGGGTGGCCGGCCATTGGCCCTAACTCCAGTGGAGGGTAAAACAAGGCAGGCTTCTTGTTCCCCGGCCGGAGAGGACGAGGCCCGCAGCCTTCATCAGCTGTCCTTCCAGCCTCCCCCAGTGCCCACCCTGCTGGGCAGCTGCCACGAAGCGACATGGTCACAGGCAGATGGCATGTGACCATTCCGTCCTACAGGTGCCCTGGCCTCCCGGAGCCCCAGGTGCCTGCTCAGCCCTGAGGCTCACTGTTCCTCTCACCTCCTGGCCCTCCTCATCCTCACCAGCACAGAATTTGGTCTCCCTGAGCTCCCCTTTCAGGGTGCTGGTCGTACCAAGCTCAGGGGCCACGGGCAGGGCTGCAGAGTGGCCCCCAGGCTTACGGGTGAGACCCGCAAAGGCGCCGGGTCCCTGCATGCCCAAACCCCCAGGCCTGGCCCCCTGCAGACCGAAGGCGCCCTCCTCCCCTGGCTGTGGTGCTGTCGCGAGCCTAGAGCACAAGTGCACTTGACACACAAGTGCACTTGGCAGTGGCCGTGGGTGGTGACCTCTCACTGCTCTCCAGTGGCCTCTGCTCACTCTGAGGGGTCTTCAGGGTGGGGGAGTGGGGGTTAACAGGTCCCGGTGATGGGTGCTTCTCCCCACCACGCAGAGTCTGCAAGTGACGCCCGCCCCGCTGCGGGGTGAACTGGGGCTGCGGCCCCGCGGCAGGCCGATTGCTTGAGGCACTGGACAGTCCTTTCCTAAGGGCCGCAGCCCCACACGTTGGTGGGCACACGAGTCTTGGGGCCCACGCTGGGCAGAACCGTGCAGTGAACCGAGGGGACCCTGGGGCGCTGGCCTGTGGAGAGCTACCCCCTTGAGGGGACCCTGGGGCGCTGGCCTGTGGAGAGCTGCCCCCTTGGCTTCCTGCTGCTGCTGCTGCTGCGGTGGGTAAACAAATGGAGGTCCGCCAGGGGCGACCCTGGGGTCCTGTGTGCGGTGTCTGACACGGATGCATTCCCCCCCCCAGGTACCCTCTGTACCAGCTGGGTAACCCCCAGCTCCGCGTCTTCCGAACAAACTTCTTCATTCGCCTGGTGCGGCCCGGCACGGCCCAGCCGGAAGACACCGTGCAGTTCCGGATCCCCATGGAGTAAGCCCCTGAGGAATGCAGGACGGGGAGTGCCCCCTCGATCTGCCGGGGTCAGAACCTGGCTCGTTTGTGGGGCTTCTCCCCGCTGTGAACCCCACAGGCGGCCCTCTGAGCTGCTCTGCAAATACTGACCAAGGGTTTGCTGTTTGCAGAGCCTCGGGTGAGGCCCGGCTGCCCCCAACCACTGCCCCTCCCCCCGCGGGGGAGCCCCGTGGAGGCCCCACACTTCTTTAACTGCGTGGAGCTCCGCTGTTCCTGGGCGCCTGGCCCCAGGCTCTCAGAGCTGTTAATTGCAGCTTCCAAAAGCCTAGTTTTCCTGGTGGTTCCCTTACTGAGGCCCCAGCGCCAGAGGGACACAGAACCCTGTCCCCAGGCTGCAGGGCCCTGCTGCAGAGCCTCAGGGTGTGACTGTCCCAGTGCAAGGGGCTGGGGGTGGCTGGGCAGGGCCATGTCAGCAATGCCATTTCAGGTGGAAGGAGGAGGGGGCCTAAGCCACCAAAGCCACCATTTTTAGGAAAGGGCCTGGTGGGAGAGCAGCTGTGCACGAGACTGGCCCTGGTGGGCTGGGCTCCTGGCAGCCGGGGGCACCCCCACACTGACCCTTCCCTGGGGAGAGCTCTGCACGGGAGCCTGGCCCCCAGTGAGCACGAGGCTCCCTGCGGCCTCCCCCACTTGCATGCAGGGAACGGGAGAGACCCCGGGTGGGGTCACATGGCTGCTGTTCATCTCAGCCTGGCTGGGACTTGCTTTTCCATCTCGATCCCAGGATGACCAGGGTGGACCTCCGGAATTACCTTGAGCGTATCTACAACGTGCCTGTGGCCACTGTGCGGACAAGGGTGCAGCATGGTGCGTGCCAGGCCCCTGCTGCCCTCGGTGGGGGTGGGTGAGCCCAGGAGGCCTCATCCCAGCCTCTGCGGGGGACTGGTTCTTGCCCGGGAACCGAGGTGCTCGGGGCTGCAGTGGCTTCCCGGGCCCACACTGCCGACGGGACAGAGCCAGGGCTGGAGCTCGGGTGGGCAGCCCCGCTCCTGCTCTGGGCTCTGCCCTCAACTGCCTCGGAAGCAGGGTCAGCAGAGTGCTTTCTTCTTGGTTCCCTGACCCCCTCACTCTTCTACCGTGGGCCCCGACCCCCCACTGCACCCTGAGTTGTAGGGTCACTGTGCTGACAAATGGGAGAAAGGGGTCTCCAGATTTCTTCTAGACCCGTTCGGGAGAAGAGACCCACAGTGGTGGCGCTGGCTCCTCACGCCCACTCTGGACCCACAAACCGGTCACGTTCGGGTGGGACCCACTGCCATCTGTGGGAGACCACCCAAGTCTGACGTGTTTGCCTCTTTCTGAAAGTGGGTTCCTGGATGAGTTGGACTGACGGTCTCGTGCTCGGAGTACAGTGTGTTGTGCTCTCCCCACCCCCCCCAGGTTCCAACAGGAAGAGGGACCACAGGAACGTCAGGGTGAAGAGCCCCGACTACAAGGTAGCCTACGTGCAGCTGGTGAGTGGGCTTCGGGCAGAGGCCCAGGTGCCGGGCGTGACTGACCACCACCGTGACCTTGGTGCGGGGGGGACGTGTTTGTGCAGCGGCCCCCGCCTGGGGCCCAGGGAGGCCCTGAGAGGCAGGAGCTCAAGGCCTGTGGCGGGCGCAGGGCAGAGCCTGCACGTAGTCCTAATCCCAGCGAAGCCCCAGGCGGAGCTGGGGGTCAGAGCACAGTCAGCCCCTGGTAGGAGATGGCGCAGGCCCGCTGTGTCGTGCCCTTGGACTTCGAATGTGCTGTGGGCTTGGGCAGGCCCACCCAGGCCCAGGGGGTCTGGGCTTAGACGGAAACCAAAGCTCCTGGCTCTGGAGAGCGTGTCCTCAGAGGGACAGGCCCCTGGAGGACGGGGGCGGGGAAGGCAGTTGATGGCTTGGACCTTAGAGCTGGACCCATTGCGGGTGTCCCGGGGTCCTGGCTGAGCCCCCTTCCCTTTGGGCTGGGTTGTAGAGCTCCAGCACATTCTGCCAGGTTCCCTTGACCGTGTCTCCTGCCTGTCCTGGGACATGGGGAGAGGGTCCACTGCCCATCTCCGTCCAGGGGAGAGGCCGACCCACAGCCCCAGAGCCCCCTGCTTAGGCTCCATCCTTCTGCGGGGACCCCAGATGAGCTTCAGCAGATGAGCCCTCCCGGAGACGGCCTGTCCCCCACCACCTGCGTGCAAACCTGCCAGGGACGGCCCTGCTGCCAGGGTGCATTCGCTGCCCCCACTGTTTGAAACCCCCAGTGGGGGGGTGGCTTCTGGATTCTTCCATACAGGTGTTGACTGCTCCAGTGAGCCTGCGGCGGGAGGCGGCCGGCCGTGGCCGCTAGATGGCAGTAGCGCTATTGTGCAAACCTTGCCAGGGCAGGCCTCCTCGGGGCGAGAGGAGGCCGCTTGTTAGGAGAGCGGGTTAGCGTGGCAGCTTTTCTGAGAAACAGTCGCAGTTGTTGTTCTAAACAGCCCGTGTAATTATTGGGCCTGATATTTGCCGTGCATAAAAGCAGCCAACCCAGGTGGAGAGCGCCCGTTGGCCGTATAAAGGCGCCTGTGTCCTGCGTGTGAATTCAGGCCATCTGTCTCTGTCACGCGCGCGGGCGGACACCCCCTGCGCGGGCACTTGCCACCCGGCCCTCCGCGGGCCAGTGGCGGTTACAAGTGGCTTCTGAGTCAGCCGAGCCCTCACATTCTTCCCCGGGCCCCACCTCAGCCCGCTCCGAGCCCGTGGGCGCAGCTGCCACGGGGCGCACCTCTCTTCCCACGTGAAGCCAGGCAGCGCGGCGGGGGGCAGGGACCCCACTAGGCAGGGCTCCCGCCGGCCCACGGCGACATTCGTGGTGGGCCCCCTGCCCCCAAGTCCTGCACACCCCGGCCCAGCCTACCCCGGCCCGGCCTGCAGACCAGCAAGAAGCTCAGGCCCTTGCCCCCTGAAGGGGTCCCTTCTCTGCCCCCCTCTGCCGGGGCCGACCTCTCCCAGTGTGTCCCGGTGGGCCCCGCTCTGGGGCTTCTAAAAACAGAGCTAATTGTAAAGCACACAGAGGGTCAATCACAAGCACAAATTAAGTTTCCGAATCTATTTTGAGTTGACTGCTGCGGAAGAGCCTGTCCGGCGGGGTGGGGGCCCCATGTTTCCCCCCGACAACCTGATACACATCTCTGCGGACCTGTGTCCCCCCCTCATGGCCCGCCGCAAGTCACCAGCCAGCCGAGGCTCTCTGGGGCTCAGGCGGTGGCCCGGGGGGCGTGTGGGAGCGTCGGCCCAGGGCCGGTTCCCACACTGCTCTTTCCCCGGCCTGTTCTGCTGACACACTCTCTCTGCGCCGTGAAGGGGGTCGAGGGTTCACATTGGGAAAGCTCAAGGTGACGGTCCCCAGAGAGGGCGCCCGCAAGTGGCTCTGGACTCTGGTGAGAAGGGAAGAACCCCCACCGGCTCCGTGTTCCCAGAGCTCTTGCAAACTGGCATCTTGGTGTTTATATTTTAAAATGTCGTTTCGGGTCCCCCCCAACCCTCAGAAAACCAGCACAATCACCTCGATGTGTTAAACGTAAGTCCCTGTTCTGGGCAGTCAGCCTGCGTGGAAACTGCCGCCCTCAGGGTTTTACAAAAGAAAGAAGGCGCCACGTTGAGCTGGGTGAGCTCGTCCTGCGCCCGGCCGGCTACCGAGGGCACACGGCCCCACCGTCTGCACTCCGGCCCGCACGCCGCGCCATGCGACCAGAATTTATAAACCTTCCCCTCTCGGGTGGGGCGTGCGGGCTGTTTCAGATCATACTTGGCCGCCTGCCCAAAGCCAAATTTCTTTACAAAACAAGGGTCTCCAAGAACCAGTGCACTTTACTGATTTTACTTATTAAAATTTTCCAGATACGGATGCCGTCCTGCATGCGTTTTTGCCCGTCTGGAAACAGTGCTGCCCTGGTGTGCGCCCCCTCCCTCACTCCCCCACCCCCGTGCCCTGATCTTGGGGGGCCGCTCCGTGAGCTGAGGCGAGCTGAAAGGGCACCTCACTGTGGCTGGGGTCCCCCCTCCTCCGCGCCCGCGAGGGCCAGTGCCCTGCACACGTGCTGGGGGTCTGGGCTGGGGCTTGGCCGACACTGGCACATTCTGAACTTTTAGTGAAAGACGTAAAACCAGTTAATTTGCAAAGCCGGTCTTGATTTATAGACTGCCGCATATGTACATTTCTTTGTACGTTATATGCGTTTTATTTGCCGAGCTCCGAGCCAGGAGGAGGGGTAGGCTTTAATGTGGGTAAAGGCCTGTAGGTATTTTGGATGGAAAAAGTCTCAGCGCGGCACCAGACGTGATTTGTGCCGTGTTTTCCTGTGCTTCGCTCCTGCCCCCCGGTCCGATCGGGCTGCCCCCGCGCCCGTGAATGGGCGCTTTGCTGGGCTGCTTTTAACGAGGCCTCTGCAGACACCCCTCCACAAAGAGATAATGCCGATGAAAAGGGGCATTGTCCAGAGTCCTGGCTTCCCGCTGGGAGATAAAAGCCAGTGGCTGGCTAACATGTTTGCGTTCCAGGCAGGGGCAGTGCCCCGGACATGCAGCCACGTGGCCATCCCTGGGGGCTTGGGGCAGGAGGGGCCCAGGGCCGGTGTGGTGTCCAAGCCCAAGTACTTGTCTTCCGGCAGGCCCACGGACAGACCTTCACGTTCCCCGACCTGTTTCCCGAGAAAAAGCAGAGCCCCGACGGCAGCCCCAGCGGCGACGACATCCAAGACAAGCTCCTGGAGGAGCAGCGGCAACGGCAGCAGCAGGATCCCCGGCGCGGCGGCGTGCCCGACTGGTTCGGCCTGTGACGGCCCCAGTAAAGTCCCACGTGTGGAGCAAAAACCCCGGCTCTGTGTCCTCTGTCCAGCGCCCCCCGCACACAGGGCACCGGCCTGCAGGGACACGGTCTGGCCCTCGGAGCCTCAGGCCAGGGAGGGGCCGGGGGGGGGGCACGAGCAGGGTCTCGTGAGGAAGTCGCCTGTGCGGCCTGTGAGGAGGGGCAGGGCGAAGGCCACGGGCAGGGGCCGGTCCCACTGAGTGACCGGGGGCACCACCAGTGGCTCTCGAGCACGGAGGGGTCCAAGGCAGGACCCAGAGGAAGCGGTGTTCAGCAGACCAACCTAACAGGAGGCGGGAAACGGGGGACGAGGTGGAAAGGACCACCTGCTTGAAGGCCCCGGGGACGGGACAGCATGGGCAGTGGCCGTCGGCACCCTGGGGTGGACAGTCTAGAAGGACCCACAGGGCGTGCGTCGAGGGGCTGTGGCTGTGAGATGTGCCAGCGGCCAAGCTGGCCAGTGGCTCTGTGTGCCACAGGCCCCTGTGGTCGTGCTCCGTGAGCCCTGGGTGCTGTGCGCTGAGCACGCGTGGCGGGAACGGGACCGCCGGAGCTGGGATTGCCGGTGTGAGTGTGTCTGTGTGCAGGTTTCATGCAGACCGGCTGGGCCTAGGGACTTGGGAGCAAACCAGAAAGCACCGGGGTTCTGAGCCTGGTGGGCCACACGGCCCCTGAGCTAGGACGCGGTTGCCCCCAGCCCCCAGGAGCCGCATCCTCTGGTGCTGCTATGACCCGAGGAGAGCCCTACTGCTTCCCTCCTCGGGGGCCTTGCAGGGGCAGCAGGAAGTGGGGGCCGGCTCCGCGACCCCCTCTGCCCTGAGGGACACCCAGACCGGGGACGGCGGCGTCACGTGGGCCTCACGGCTCCCTCCACTTGGAGGGTGAAGGTCCGGGCAAACGCCGCCTTTCAGCGTTGATTTAAAGTGATGGGGAAGGTCCGGAAGGCGCCCGGAGAGCAGAGTCAACGGTATTCTCCTTAGAGAAATAATTCATGGGGCCCCACAGCCCTGAGGACCCCAACTCAAGGCTGGGAGAGGAATCCCATCGTTCATCTGAGCACGTCCGGCGCGGGCCGCCATGCACACCCCACACACGGCCCAGCGCCTCCACCAGCTGGCCTCCCCATTGGCGCCCCGCTCTGCAGCCTCCCCGAGACCCCCGTGTCCCCCCACCCGCTCCACCCCCAGAGGCACGGTCGTCTTTCTGCCGGGGGAGGAAGAAGGGGCCGGAGAGCAGCTGTGTCCTTGGTCTCCCCTGCACACTCCCCGCCTTGCTCCAGGCCGGCAGAGCCCCCTCCCTGCCTGGGGCCCCATGACAGGCCCATGGGAATGAGGGTGGAGGGGAGGGCAGCGGTGGGGGTTGCCTTGCAGGTCCTCAGGAATCCAGGAAGTGGGCCTGCAGCTGGGGGCTGCTCCACCCCACCCCCAGGCTCAGAGCCTCTGGGAGGAGCTGGCTGGACACCCCTCCCCCTCCAGGCTGCTCCCTGGCTGGAGGCTGAGGAGGGAGACGGCCTGTGACAATAGCCCCTTGGGTGTCCTGGCCGTGACTCAGTGTCCCTTCTGCACAGCGGAAGACGAGCTCCAGGTCTCTGCTTGGGGATTAGAGTGGGGTGTCTCTCACACTGCAAACGAGCGGCCAGCAGGCCCTCCTTGGCTGGACACCTCCATGGGCATGGGTGCTCCTTCCTGTGGGGACGGTCCCGTGAGGAGCAGGCAGGGCCCCAGGTTGTGGGGGAAGTCCCTGGGCCGAGGGAGAGAGTGAGGGCCCCCAGTGCTTCCCCCACCCCCGCAAGCCCCCCATCTTCTGGGATGTTCATGTGTCGCCATGTGGGAGGTCTGTTTACTTTGCAAGAGGGAGTGAGAGACCCAGGGACGCCAGGTTATAGCGGGCAGAGGCCGGCAGGGCAGGCTGAGGGGGGCTGGGGCCGGGAAGGGCCCTGGGGCCTGGCGCGTGCTCTGCCAGTTCCCGGTGTGTGCGGATGAGTATGGCTGCAGCCGGATGGGTGCCCAGGCCCCCGGGAACGCATGCCAGACCCCTCCGCCCCCCGGCCCAGCAGCTGCAGGTGAGGCCCAGCCGCCCAGGGCCATCAGGACGGAGCGGACACCATCTGGCCGCAGTCTCTCCATCAGCGGCTGGTTTTCCTCTTCTAGGGCCGACGAGTCCTCCCCCGGGGCTGCGCCACACTGTCTCCCCAGCTCCTAACACAGGGCTTAAGTCTCTGACTCCAGATAACAGCGGGGAGCTGGGGCAGGGTCCCCACGCCACCCACACACCAGGCCACGGGGCCCTCTGCTGGGAAAGTGCCCACACAGCTTTCCATGGCCCAGACCCCCCCTGTTGGGTGGGCTCCCCACCTTCTGGCCCCCGTGTGCACCCCCTCCCCATGGGCCCCCACCCCAAGCAGAGGATCCAGGCCCAGGGACGCCACACTTCCTCTTGCCCCACCCCCCACCCTGCCCCAGGGCCTCCTGGAAGGCACGTCTGGAGTGACCAGGCTCCCCCCACTTCCTGGCTTTCATGTGACCCTAAATTCTGCTAGTCTGTGCAGGAGCATAACTGGGGAACGGCCAGCCCTGTGAGCCCGCCGAGGCAGACGTGACGGCCCGTGTCCCGGCCCGGGGGCTGGGGGCTGGGGGCTGGGTGAGGCGTGGGTGGGTGCTGGGTGGGGAGCGCCGGCCCAGGGCCCCGCTCTCTCGCCTGACCCGGGGCCTCCCTCCCGGCATGCAGGGCAAGGCTCGCACGTCCTCTCCTATCTTCACGCGGCTTTCTGGAGACATAGCTAGCATACCCCGCCGCCCCTGCAAGTATGTCGTGAGGTGTCTGAGCACATTCACAGAGCTGCGTCTCTATCCCTGTGATCCGTTTTAAAAAACATGTTTGTGTCGTCCAGAAAGCAGCCCATGGCCACCCCCACCCCGCCCCGCCCCTGTCAGCCTCAGCTCTGCTCTCCGTCTCTCCGGCCCGGCCTGCGCCCAGCGCACTGCACACACGGGACCCGCCCCACGCGGGCTCGGTGGTCGGCTCAGTGTCCCCGGGTCCATCGTGCCGTGGCACGTCTCAGGATGTGCTGTGGATGGCCACGTAATGCTCCGTGGTGTGTGTCCACGTGGGTGGGTCCACTCTCTGTGGCAGACACTGGGGTTGCTTCCCGCTCTGGGTCCGCAATTTGGGGGACATGCGTGTCTGTGTCCCCCGGGGGAGGACTGAGCGCTCTTCCCGGAGTGTTCCAGGCGAGCCGGACGCTTCTCTGTCCCTAAACGTCTGTGGACGCTGTGCAGAACTGGGCCATGTGTGCGGCTGTCCCCGCCACCGAGGCCTGGGCTCTGCCAGCGGTGCAGGAGCCCGGGTGTGGGAGTGGGGAGCCTCCCCTCCAGCGAGGCTGGCACAGGGAAGGGTTTTGGCCCCAGGGACCCCAGGCCCCATGTGGCTGCACCTGGGGCTCCCCTCCCCTCGCACACCACCCCGCCCTCACGCTCCGGAATCCTTGTTTGCCCAGGTGTGGGGCGGCTGGTACAGTGTGGGCTGCTCCCCACACGTCCGGGGGGGCCCCGGGCTAAGCCCCGGTCACCTGTGTGCAGGTGACTCTAAGTCCCTTCGGGGCAAAGAAGGAGCCCTCCTCTCCCCACTGCCCTACTGCCCCACCACTCCAGGACACCCTCCCTCCGGGGGCGACCCCAAGCCACACTGCAGGGAGCGCCCTCTTCTGGCCATTGCCAGCCCCGGGGGCTGCACGGCTTGGGGGGCTAAGGGGCGAGGCCTCCTTCCACCGGCTCAGCCCAGAGGGAGCAGCAGCCACTGCCCGCCCACCGGCGGGAACCCCAGCACTGGGAGACCGGTTCAGCATCTGCGTTTGCTCCTTCCCAACTGAGGTCATCCCAGCACAATCCCCCAAATCACTTCATTATTTCTCGGTAAATAGGGCTTTTCCTAGTCAAAATCATCAGCATTTTTGTGTTGCCCCCACATCTGGCTTTGATTGGCCCCGGCCTCCTCGGATGGATGCTGGAGCCCTGACGTTATGAGGAGAGGCCGGCCGCTGCTTCCCTTGCTTCCCTTCCCGCTCAAGGCCCCGGGCAGGGGGAGGGGTGGGTGGGGGAGGGAGACCCCAGGCCTCTGCCCGCATGTCTGTGCGCTCCCTGCCTGGGCCCGGGCTCTGTAGGGGGAGTCCCAGGCTCTGCCCCCCATGCCCCATGGCTATGTTCAAGGCCTTCCCTGTGCAGAGTCCCAGCCCTGGCCTTCATCTCCGTGGTGTCCCCCCCCCCCCCCCCCGGGACCATGCGGGCATTTCATCCCAACCGCCCCCACACACACACCAGGATCTCTGCCACCCCCTGTCCCTGAGAGACGTGTGACAGGAAAGCTCTCCCACCCAGCCCCCGCCCCACAGCTCCCCAGCATGGAGTTCAGCTGAGGCCAGCAAGGAGGGTTCCCTGCGAGCCTGAGGCTGGGCTGGGCTGCGCTCACTCCTCCCGAAGCAGGAGCCTGGGAGATGGCTGCTAGCAGGCTCTACCAGGCGCCGGGGGCACCTTGACCCCGCACAGCTATCTGGGTCCTGTGACATTACCTACGGTGCTGGGGGCAGCCCAAAGACCATCCCCCCACCCCTGAGCTGGTGGCCGGGCGGCTGAGCGGCAGACACCAGGGACAGGCCGGGGGCGGCTGGTGCAGAGCGAGCCGGACGGCGTCTGCCGGCGGGCCTGCGCCCACTGCCCACCAGGGAGGGGAAGCTCGAAAATCCTCCACGGGAGCTGGGGAGAACACTGAGGGGGCTCAGTGCCCCCCGGTGGGTGTTCGCGGGGCCCCCAGCCCCTTCCGCTGGCCGCTGCAGGCCTTCACTCCCTGCCGCGGGGGAGGTGCCTCCCAGAAGCCTTTGCAGTGGGCCCAGGGCAGGGGGGACGCGCCCCCTTAAACAGAACAAGGTGCTGGCCTTTCATACCTTCGCTTTACGAAGTGTTGGGAATTCCGACGGCCCAAGCAGCTGGATGTTCCCCAGCAGGTTCTCCCT